AAAGGCTTTCCGATGGATATAATTTTTCATGGACTAACAAATGAAAGGAAAAGTTTCGAAATAATCTCTTATCATGCTGACCTTTGGTAATAAGTAATTCTTTACTGAGCGAAAATAAACAAGAAGCTGGTCCTGACTACAAGAAACAAAATAGACTCGCGCCGCGTCCAACGCCATCAACAATCAATTTATTGGAAAACAGGCTTTCTTCTGCATCGCCCGACCAGAACCAAGATAACAAGAGGACCGTGGCAAGCAATTCGCTTTGACGATATTTTAAAGAGGTGGTTAGAGGAACCGTAAAATTTTGAATTATACGAATACACAAAACTGGGGGCGTCGGATCTCCAGTTCAGAATACCGGAGCTGAGTGTTCTTAAATAAAAAGTAATATCTTCAAAATGTGCATTTTCCGCATTTCATGGGGACCATCTTTTTATTTTCAAGTTGATGGAAATAAGTAACAGACTCCATGTGCAAAGCTGTTCGTTTAAAGTCTGAGTTATGCAGCTGGTCAAAAAAAAAAGTGCTTAATTTCTTTTTCCCCGTTAACCCGAAGTTTCAAGACGAGTAGCTACGCTTTCACTTCTATGTTCATAAGGATCCGACAATGGAAATTTTATGAGCCATTTCAATATAAACCGCACCTTCTCAACTTATTCTAATAAGATTAATTTCATATTGTCTCAATATTTACTGATACATTTCCGAAATTACATATTCCCTTGATCTTTTATGGTCGAATTTTTGTTTCAACAATTCTATCTTCTAGAATATTACGTTCTTGAAAGTTAACTTCTGTTTCGGATGAACATGTTGATTCCATCTTCAGGATTGAAAAATAAGCTGAGCAGAATTGCTTGCCACCTACTCTAGTTATTTTTCGGCATATTCTTCGACCCTAAAAATGGAAGCCATATGTTTCTCCGAAATATTGGTTAACTTTCAAGGGACTAAACTGCGGTATATCCCAGAAGACAGAACACTTCACAACCACCACTCTGAAAGTCCCAAATCCTATGAAGTTTTATATTATACAAAGATCTCTTTCACCTGGCTTAATCGAGCTAACAGTAGGAGATGAAGATTACAAATTTGAAGCTTTTTATTATGAATTTATCATGTGCAGTCATTCATAATGGACTCAGCATCAATACCTCACGAAAGTTTTACTGATAATTGCAGTTAGATTGCAGACAGCCATTGCTGTCTCTGGAATACAAGGTGGGCGGTTTATGTAAAGCGTATGGATGTACTAATTAGAAAATTAACAGTGGTTTGAATCTCACTTGCAGGATCTCGATAGAGATATAAGGACAATATTAAAATTTATTTTTCAGAAAGAGAAAGTGTTGTGTAGTCTGAATTAACTTGATGAGAATATCGTAAGAAGGAGAGCTTTTGAGACGCTCTTAATGACCATTCAGAACAGAGTACAGTTATCATGATAACCGGACCTTGCAAATTTAGTTTCATGTTATGTAAACCATTTTCTTTATATTTGTGAAGAATTATTTTCCGGACAATCCGCTCAGTGCTGTCAGATTACATGATGTGCTTTTGCTTGACTTTTGCTGGAGGTGGTGTTCTCTGATGTGCAGTTATGCTCAAAAAGCCAAGAGTAAATATCTGAGAAGGAATATTGCAGTTTACTTGTTCGGTTATGTACTTTAGCAAGCTATTTTAGAGTGTGATTAAAATTAAATATGGTAGACAGACGGCATTTCGAAAGAATCAACAAGGCAATATAATGAAAGAATTGTGAAGATGATTCCTATATTAACGAGTTTTTATGCAAAAAGAAACCTGTTTTTAATAAAATACAAAAATTACTTTTTAAATAAAAACAGGAAAGCAGGAACTTAAACTGTTTTAATTGAAGCTACAAAGAGACCGTTCTTTAAAACTCTGTTATTCATTCATTTGTTATGGTGTCACTGTTGTAGATGGAGGTAATTGTGGGCAGCATTTCGAAACAACGGAGATTTATTTTAAAGACAAAAATATAATAAAAATATATAATCACTGAACACGAGATAGGCTGTAATCTTGTAGCAGATAACTTTAGCTTGTGAAACCGGTTCTCCATGTAAATCCAGGCAAATTACTGATTGGTCATTCAGAACTACGATAAATAAAATAATCAATTTAGCTTCGTGGGAAAGGCAGCGCCATAGCTCAGGCGGTTAGTCGCTTGCTTCCCACCGCGGCGGCTCGGGTTCGATCCCGGGTCTGGACAAGTGGGATTTGTGGTGGGGCAGTACTTCGGTTTCCCCCGCCAATCTTCATTCCACCAATTGCTTCACAATCACCCTCACCTATCATCTGGGGCTGGTACAATAGGCCAGAAGTGGCCGCAGTACAAGGGACTTAGTCCCACCCCACTAGCAATAAAAAAGAAAATACCTTCGTGGGTCACTTAAATAAATGAAATTGAATTTCAAATACCACTTGTAGGTCTATGTTTACCCTCGTATTTCTGAGGGTGATAAAGCTTTTGACATTTTGAGATATTTGCAGCAACTAATCGTACGGCTTCTGTTAACGCTTTAATTGCTAACTCAAAGTCTTCCTGTGATCTAAGCAATTGTCTCTGTCGCTCTAACGGCAAATATATTGTCACGTTTTATTTGTGTGACTATAGACGGGGTATGGATTGGATATTGAATTTATTAACCACTTGTATACTTCACACGGAACTACATTTTATAGATCACTGACACAACAGATTAGTGAGCTCAGTCTATTGGTCTCCACTAGCCGTTTCCTGGCAAAGGATTTTAACAAAATTGAGATTCTTCAGCTTCCGTGGTCGCGCTGTTGACCGCTGGTTAACACTCCACACCTGAACTCTTTCACTCACCAACTAACTAGTTCTCTTAACTGAAATGCTGACAACTGATTGCAGCTTAGCTGGTGTCCTCTTGGGTTGAACCTAACAGAAAATACCGCTTCCAACAATCCTTCTGTTGTCGTCATGGGAGATACTGTTTCCGCAGGAACGTTTTTAACGAGCCGCTGCTTAGAAACGGCATAGTAACTGCTGTACTCGTCCGTTTCGAGGTCTCTGCCCAGCAACGGGTCTATACCACAATATTCGCATGACACTTAAGGATAAGCTCTCTTCCCGACTGGGCTGTCTAGGATACTGTGCTATGTGATTATTGTGTACCGATAGGAAGACCTGGAGGGAAAACCTCCAAAGTTTAATTTCTTTCTTTTGCAAAAATTACATAAATTAGAAGCATTTGAATAAAAATTGTCTGTCAATATGTTCAACAAAACTTCTCAACCGGTTTCAACCAAATTAGGATTGAATCCTGTAGTAAAGATTTCTCAACGCATTTCACAGCGGTGCTTTTCTTTTATTATGAGTCGGTATAGCGACTAGCTATTGGCTGGACGACCGAGGGGTCGGAGTTCGAGTTTCGATGTGGTCAAGAATTTTCACTTCTCCATATCGTCCAGACCGGTGCTGGGGCCCACACAACCTCCTATCCAATGAGTACCGGGGGGGGGGGCATTCCCCGGGGGTAAAATTACAGGGGGCGTGAAGCTGATCGCTTACCTCCAACTAACGCTGAGGTCAGGAAAACAAGGATATATACGTCCACTCCCCCATACGCCTTCATGACGTAGTGCTTGCTTAGTTAAGTACAGGGACATCTTTACCTCTTTTTTTTTCTTTTACTGCCTTTTAGGAGTGGGATGTTACTTGAGTTCCTTCTTATTGCTTCCACAGATATGCATATTCTACCGAAAGTGGGTCAAAGAATCCCATATGGTGGTGGGTTAGAATACTCAAACTGTGGCCCTGCTAGTCTTTGAAGGAGGTGAAAAGGGAAATCCGGTGCCTGGGGACATAACTGTGTTACCTTGTCACTTGCTTACTCATGGAGCTGAGCCCTTCTGGAGGAACCGCCAATTCTGCAGCTACTCAAGAATTCCCCAGCATTTTATGGAATCCGAAGGTTCATTACCGTCTTTACCAGAGCCCTCCACTAGTCCTTATCCTGAGCCATATCAATCCAATCCATACCATCCCATCCTATCTCTCTAAGATCCATTTTAATATTGTCCACCCATCTACGCCTTGGTCTTCCCAGTGGTCTCTTTCCTTCTGGCTTTCCCACCAATATCCTATACGCATTCCTCGTCTCCCCCCTTCGTGCTACATGCCCTGCCCACCTCATCTTCCTTGACTTTATCATTCTAATTACACTTTGAGAAGAGTACAAGTTATGAAGCTGTCACCCTGTCACCAGGGGACATAAATACGGATATCTGGTCCTCCAAATTGAGGGGTAGACGTAAAGCTGACCGTCTTGCTATGTAAAAATACAACTGTTAGAGAAATCCAAAGAAATAAAGAAGCGGATTGTCTAAGTTACAAACCATAGCAGGCAATGGACAAATGTGGCAAAATTTTCTGAGGAGGTTATGACTTAACAAGGATAATTATGTGATTCAAAGATGATTGTGCAGAACTGGGAGGAAACTGAGGAGCGCAGAGAACTGCCACAGTTCCCCTTTGTTCACCATTAATATTACATGGATTACCCTGGAATTGAACTCTGGCTTCTATGTTGAGAATCCGGCGACTAGTCGCCTGAGCTATATCACGACTTTTGACTTGTATTAGTCCATTATAACACATATTTCACATGGCTCTGAAAACGAACACATCCATTTCCTAAAATAACAGCTGATTTCCCTAGGAATTTGTAATCAACCAACCGAGATTCGAACAGAGTACCTGCCTGATGCATGTTATCGCTATACCGATCCTTCGGTACCTTTACGTGAGAGCAATAACATCATTACAATTGTACATATTTTGTTTTTCTTTCCAAAAAATTCCATTGCAATTGTGAATTATTTTGTTGTTGTCTCCAAAACAAACCAAAAAGTAATATCGTTACAATTGTATTTCTCATCCTCTTTCCAACAGAATTCAATAATTAATGTTAATACAATTTCAATTTTTTGCTTTCCAACAGAATCCAACAAGTACAGAAACGGATGCAAGAGATTTGCTACAACTAGCGCTCGATCGGATATGCGAGCTTCAGAGGAAACTAATGCAGCCAAATTCTTATGATGCTGGAACTCCACATGAAGATTTAACAGGTAGGAGATTTTAGGAGCATATTCCTTATTTAATTTAGTTCTACAGCCAGTTCACTTCTGCATAATACAATACTTTAAGCTTCTTGAATATTGCATGCCTTCGCATAACTTATAAAGTTATCTCTGTTCTATCTACATGAGAGTCTAGTCTTCGTGCTTTCTGAGTAAGATTCTCCACTTGACAAAGAACCACGTATTGTGTTTTGTGTATTTCGGGAATGAAACTGTCATAAGAGACGTCATATAGTTACTGTTATTATAAAGATATTAACAGGTTTTAAGCTTTCTGAAATGACAAGATATTTCCAGTCTACTAACAATATCTAGTCAGATATAAAACATTAATTTAAATAGCAAAATAAAAATAGTATTTACAAGAGAGGTTCAACTTAAATCCATGCGAGGGTGATTACATGCAATATATTTGCTCCAGTAACACAAAATCACGGTCAGAATAGAAGCATCCATTCTACAGGGTCACAAATCGCTGAATATATTTCCCGCAGAATTCGGTAATCTGCTGGTAGTCCAACCGGGCACAGGCCCGTTGGGTGCCTCCGTCATAAGGGTGAGGATAGGAACGCAGAAGAGATCAAGATTTTGCGGATAAATGTGGACGGTGGACGAAAAACTTAAAATTTTTTGGCATGTTGAAATGAAATGAGATTGGACTAGAGCAGCAAGACGCAATTTGCACATCGAATTAGAGTCCGCTGAGATGCTTTAACTTCTCTAATATTTTTCTTCTTTTTTCTTTCTCTCATGAATTTCTGATATACCGGATGATTCTAAATTATTGTCGTGGTTTCCGTTTTTAGGCCATGGAAACCGCGACAATAATTTAAAATCATCCTGTATATAGATAGCATACGTTTTTCGTTTAGGTTCGATATTTAAGAGATTTGAAATCCTTACAGAAATGGCGATAAAGATTGCTAAATAGTTTTATTTTCTGGGATAAAACCCCATACAGTTCGTTGAAAGTCTATTGATGTTTCGGAGGAAAATGTCGCCTCAATCTTCAGGACCTAAAAACTAAAAACTGCTTTCTCTCAGTTTCATGCTGACTTCTTGCTGTCCTACTCTGCTATCCTGAAGATGGAAGTTATACTTTCACCCGAAACGTAGGTTGACTTTCAACAGGCTAGGCTACACGGTGTTATATCACAGAAGATGTGGTTCTTCATAACCACCGGAGTAACAATCTCAGATCCTGCGTATGATTATTACTGACTTCCGGATGTGACATAATGCAACAGGCTGCTCCAAAATTTTGGCATTTTTACTAGGTTATACGGAGTCATATTCTAGAATAAAGTAACTTTCGGGATCTGTAATACTGATTTCCGATATTCCTAATATTTTACAGAGGTATAAACTCACTCCAAAAATATTCTCAAAATTAATGCTTCTAGAAACTATACAAATTATATCTAAAGAAGTTTCAACCTTGAATAGCTCTGACAACAGATCTTAAAAAATATATTTATGAGAAACTTTATCTTTATTCTGTTTCAAATATGGACTTCTATAGAGAGCCTCATGTCACTGTATGTTGTGATATTTCGGTCTTATATTTACTGTGTCTGTCTATTTTTATCGATGCTTTATTGCGAAATCAAGGGCTCATTACTTCTCTCTTTTAAAGACTTGAGGACGCAACTTCTGACTCTGTCAGCTACTTGAGTTATGAAGAAAACCGTCTCCTGGGATGCGGCACCGTGCAGATATTGTGTTAACTGACGTTTCGGAGGAACGTATCGCCTCCATCTTCAGGGTAGAAGAAAAAAGGAAAGATAATTCTCGAGCGAGGAAACCGCGTGAGCAGGTGCTGACAGACCCTGAAGATGGAGGCGATACGTTCCTCCGAAACTTCAGTTAACACAATATCTATACGGCTCCACAACCCAGAAGACTGCTTTCTTCATAGTCACCGCCGTAAAAAAATCATATCTTACATACTTGAGTTATGTTTCCCTTATCAAGAATGCCGACTTCAGAGTGGACAGAAAGTTCTCTCTGCTTATTCTGGAAATCCGAACAGATCTGTAATTTCTTTATTACAAATACCGAGTTACCGAGCAGTATGAAGGAAAGGGAGTTGAAACATCCTTTTCTTCTGAAAGGAAAAACACAAAACCGATGTAATTCAACGCTCGGAGGCATTCGACGTCACTTCTTACTTGCACCTCTTAGTGTACACGCGGTCGACTTTGGATCATCAATTACTTTCTACGCAATATGTGTGAGGCGGTTGGTGAGCACGACACTGCAGCTGTTGCGTCAGGTGAGGCGTTGAAGTGCAGTGGCCTCAAACCGATTGCCCAATTAACGTCCTCCAACAAATATACAAAACAAATTATTACATCGGATATTTTGATGATGTGTTATCCATGAAAGAGATGAAGGTTTGTTTAAACACTGGAGAAATATATTGAGTGAAGGCCGCACCATAGCTCAAGCGGTTAGTCGCTGGCTTCCCACTGCGATCCCGGGTCTGGTCAAGTGGGGTTTGTGGTGGACAAAGTGGCGCTGGGGCGAGTTTTCTCCGAGTGCTTCGGTTTCCCCTGCCAATCTTCATTCCACCAAATTCTCCATCATCATAATCCCCCGATGCAGGTACAATAGGCCAATCAGTGGCCGCCGTGCCGAGTGGACCCAGTTGGACTCCACAAAAATATTGAGTGACTCGATAATTTCGAAAGGTTTTCAAGTACAGAATACATTGATTCGGAAGTGAATGATAAAAGTGACTGGGTAAATAAATAAACAAAAATAAAAGACACAGATGACCTTCTTATAACGGAGGAGGTAAACTGCATTTTTACTGAGGACAAGAGGCAAAATCTTACTTCTCTCTTTCCATTCTGAGTTAGAACTGTTAGTTAGGTTACATCTTTATTATTCTAACTAACTAACTAATTTCTTGGAACTGAACCCTTGTTGAGAAGCCGTCAGTTGTGCAGGTAATTAAGAACTTCCCAAAAAGTTATGGAACCGGAAGTTTTATTACCGCGTTCACAACAACAGCACTCCACTGGTCCCTATCCTGAGCCAGATCAATCCAGGCCATACCATCCCATTCTATCGCCCTAAGATCCATTTTAATATTATCCACCCGCCTATGTATTGGTCTTCTTCTGGTTTTCCTACAAATATTCTACATGCTTTCTCTTCTCCCTCGTTGGTGCTACATACCCTTCTCATCTCACCCTCCTTCACTTGATCATTCTAATTATACTTGGAGAAGAGTACAAGTCATGAAGCTCCTCACTGTGCAGTTCTTTCCAACCCCCTGTCACTTCATCTCCCTTCGGTCCAAATATCCCCCTCAGCACCCTGTCCTCAGACACCCTCAGTCTGTGTTCCTTCTTTAATATCGGTGACCATGTTCCACACCCACACAGGCTTTAGTATTCGGACGACACAATTTCAACAGAGGGCCATGAACTGTGGACGTACGTGTAGCCTGCTTTAGTGTGAATACGACATAATATATACACATAGATAGCACTGATGCCAAGTCATAAACCATCTCCTGCTACACATTTGTATTCATATTCTGTTATGGTATATTATATTGCTGGCCCTAAAGGTGAAGGTGACATGTCCCTCAGGCAGGTCGGTTGGCTCTCAGCGGGCTACACGGTATTATATTCCATGAGGTTGAACACTTCATCTCTTTTTGTTTGTTCGTAATCTCATAGTTACGGACATACAGATAAAATGTCTTCTTTTAGTTAGACTATTAGAGATAATTATGAGAGAAACCCAAGCAAAATTTACATAACATTATTTCTTCTATAAATGTCACAAAATATTTTCTTCTTTCGAACCCTGGTCCTTGAAACTACAGTACACTCTTCGAAAGACACACAGCAAAGTCCTGACCAACAGAGACCCTAAGCTATAAATGATCTACACAAGAAACAAACTCCGTGGCTTGTAGTCCGCAAGCGAACTATACCGACCGAGCGACCGCCGCTTGTCGGCGAAGTTAGTGTCAACTTTAGCGGAAAGATGGCTTCGCGTGGTTAGCGCAACGGATCCCCACGGCCATTAAATAGTGGTTCCGCTATTTCCTTGAAATGTCTCCTCAATTATCCTCACGAGGCTGAGTGAACCCCGTTCCAGAACCACTACTTCTTAGAAAATTTGTTATCGCTGGGAATCGAACCAGGGACCTCTGGATCTGTAGCCAGGAACTCCGACCACTATACCACAGAGGCGGTCACCTACAACATTATACTCATCAAAATTCTTTTGGTGTAAAATCATTCCTGTAATTCTCAAATGTCACTTTATCTACCCTCATCGCTACTGGAAGGGTTGGGGGTATATATCTCCGTCTGCACCCTCAAACGCAGGACAAATATCGTTGAAGAAAGGAATCACTGCGGGGGTCGCATGGAATGGAATTTATTATAGATAAATATTCCTTTTCTTCTTCCTTTTACGATGAAGGCGGATATATGTTGACTCTTAAAAAAGAGTCTCCAAAATTCATTCTACCCAGGCTTTTAACCATCAGTTTATAATGTGAGGATCACTGTCTCCTGGGGTAGGTTAGTCAGTATAGAGACTAGGCTGTGACCTGGATAACCAAGTAATCTGAGTTCAATTCCAGGCAAGGGAATGAGATGAAGAAAGCAGTCTTCTGGGGCTTGGCACCGTGTATATGTGGTGTTAACCGACGTTTCGGAGGAAGGTATCGCCTCCATCTTCAGGGTAGGAGGAAAAATATAAGAAATCCGCAAGCGAAGAGACCGTGAGAACCGGTAAAAGCAGTTCATAGTGACCGCCGTGAAAGCCTCAAATCTTATAAGGGAATGAGATATTTCTTCTCTGTAGCTTCCAAACGGATTTTGGGACCCACCCAGTCTCATATGCAGTGAGTATAGGGGATTTTCCCTCAACGATTAAAGCGATCGGGGCGTGAAGCTGATCACTCACCTCCATCTAGTACCAAGGTTAAGAATGGTGGAGCTATACCTCCACTA